TGCTTATTAATATTTATACCACTAATAAGGTAAGTACGTAATAGGAAAGAAAAAGCACCTCTTTGAATGAAGAAAACCAGCGCTCCCCATCGCTCGTGCGAGCGCCTGAGCTTGCCCACCCGCCACTCCCTTCCTGCTCTGCAGAGCTCAGGCCCTCGCGTGAGCGATGGGGGGCACCAGTTTTTGCTCGCTCGCCCGCCACTCACCTCCTGCTCTGCAGAGCTGCCCCAGTTACCGCCCTGGCTCAAATGAAGGCCCTGCTGCTTGAGTAGCGGCGTATAACACGCAGCTAGGATTTCAGCCCCAAATGTTAAGGAAAAAAAGTGTGTTATACGCTGATAAATACGGTACATATTTCATCAGGTAGTAAGTCCCATTGACTGCAGGGGAGATGATTTGTAAGTAGGTATTTAGGATTGTACTGCTATTCTTTTTCTAATGACAGCAAAGCTAGGTTCAGTTCCTTTGCCTCTGACCCCAAGATTATCAATACTGTCTGCTAGGGCTCTGATAAATCTTCTGACAAATGTTGTTGTTGGGATTCTGTTTAGTAAAGCAGTTGTAATCCAATGGTAGCCAACTTTTTTAGGTACCACAAGTAAGATCCAAAGATGGGATACTCTGCAAAAAGACCTTGGGGATTTTTCATATGAGTCTATTGTATGGAGGAATACAAAGCAGCATAATTCATGCAGGAATGTATAAGGTTGATTTTTTCAGTTTTTTTAAATTGCCAGACTCTTATTATACCTCTACCAAGAAAGGCGGCATATTGGTCATATGCATTTAATTCTATCAATAAGGCAGTGAACGAGTCTCTCTTCACTCTTTGCATCCTCAGAATTTGTTCCAGGAGGTGGAGATTCTTCTGGTCAGATTTTGAAGGCCTTCAGGAAAACACCCTGTTGGCTGAGCCCCATGCGCCTTGGCCAGTGGGAGGTTATGCTCGTGCTTCTTTGTAAATAGAGCATCCCTTTTGTCAAAATTCATACAGCTGTGATACCTTTGAGAATTTTGGCTGTTATTTTACAAACAATTGTATTCTAAGGTTGCCACTGGTGTCAGCGAAACATCATTTTGTAGATGAAATGCAAAGAAAACACCATAGTGTTCTTGTAATACCTTCTTCTGATGCCAAATGTTACTATATTTCCAAGTGTGTTTGGGACCTTTAAAATAACATCTGTGCCTAGGAATTTTTTTCTGTTTTGGAAGCGAACTCAACTTAAAAAAGGGAAAAAAAAAACAAAACCATTCCTGGTAAGCTTCAGGAATTTTTAGCTAGGAAAATTCAATTTGATGTTAAGAAACATAGCTTTTCTATTGCAAAACATACAAACAGATCCAACTCCATTTTCTGTCCCAGAAAATTGTTGTGCACAGGAACTATTTGCTAGCCTAACTTCTGAAGTGGGAGGTATCCACTGACTATAAAAGTCTTTGTGCATAGTGGAATTAAAAATGGCTTTTACTGTGACTTAATTTCAAATTAGGATGGACTCTCTTATCTCCATCAGAAGGAAGTTAGCTAGTCTTTCACTCCTCTTCAACCTTAATTCATCTCAAAATTGCTATGGCAAGGGTTGTACATATTGTTAAGTTGGTCCTTTTTTATACAAGATTGGAAGCATTGATTGGGAAAGGGGCTATGGGACGCTGCAGAATAGTCAAGATGGCCACAACCACATGATTGAAGCCCTTTGCTCTTGCAAAGATGACCACCATATTGACATGCCGCCTCCCAGATGCCTCTGGAAGGGTGAGAAAGGAACAGGACTCATACTTTGCC